AGTGTAGTTCCTTTTGGCAGCTTCAACTGCCATGATCCTTGAGAATGAATGAGAAGAATTTCTCTTTATCAAAAAGTCATCTCTGCTACCTGTTGTTTGCATTGCAATAGCATCTAGCTGCCCCATTTTGCTAGGTGCTGTATTGCACGCAAGCAGATGGCTGATTCTATACAGTCAGCCCTGTAGTCACACCTTCCTGAATATGCTGGATAAGTGTCCAGAAGAGATGCAGCCCTACCATCATCCTCACTCTAACCACAGATCCCTGCCCCATGACTCCCAGATCTGAACTTGAGTTTTTTTAATCTACCATCTCCTATTCCAGAACCCCCCAAAATAGTCACTTGGGGGATCTGTGATTAACTTGGTTGTCATTTTCCTTTGTCCCAAAAAATATGTTCACAGACCTCTAACTCCTGTCACATGTTGCAAACAGCTGGCCCAACTGTTGTTGAAGGCTGTCTAAAAAATTAATATGCTCCTGCACCTGAAAGGTGTATCTTAACCTCTCAGAATAGGTCAAGGGAGGAAAGGCTACTCTTGCAGTTGTTTGTTTTTGAACTCTCTGGGTGCATCTACATGTGCATTAATGTGCTTTTCCTAATAAGCATTAAATTTAGTACCTCCAAGATAAGGTACTAAATAAATGCGCATTAGGCTGCACTAGTGCACAGTAGCACAAGCACATGTTTTTTAGGTGACACTTAGTGCCTATTTTACTGCATATTAGCATATTATTTTATGTGCCGCGTTAAAGTGCAGTAGAATAGGCTACTGTGCATTAAAACAAGCATGTAGATGCGCCCTCTGACTCCTAGAACTGTTTAGCTGTCTCCATATTCACAGACTTTCTAATCCAGTCAGTCCAAGCAAGCTAAAGCCACCACATGTTTCTGGAACATCTTGAAACATAGCATCACAAACAGGGAAAAGATGAACAGTGAGGACCTATGATCCTGATCACTAAACTAAGTTCATTTTCCAACACAGATCACTTTTCACCAAAGGGCATCTTCACATGTGCTCCAGTGTGTTGGGGAATAGAGGGGCACTTTAATTAGAGTGACTCTCAGGAACGAGCTTCACTAATCAAAGTGCCCTCAGAGTCTCGTGAATTCAGTATCCCACCTTTAGTTACAATGCTGCAATTCTGAAGTGCCAGGATGCCAAATACACATGACACTGAGGCTGCTGGAGCGCGCTAATTAGCACACTGCAGCAGACTGGATTGATCGAGTCTGCTCTGATGTATTCTAATTAGAATGTATTGGAGCAGGTGTCAGGCACATTTATAAGTGCCCAATGTGATGAAATAAACCCTGTGGTGGTAGACATGGGTTAGGCTTCAACACAGGAAAGGCAAGAGCTACCCCTATAGCAAATCCATCTGTTCAAATGAGAGAACTTTCTTCTCCAGAGCTGAGAGCAGAACCACCAAAGCTACTAGATACCCAATGTGTTGCCTCAGCATCATTCCTATATCACTTTTTATGAAATAAGAAACATCAAAATCAGCAAGAAATAATATTTGCATCTTTAAATTTATATTAATGAACTTCTACCCAGGTTGACAGGGCACTTACCCATATTAGGAGGGCACTTAGATATAGAATGGTTTGATTACCAGCTGCAGTTACAGAAATTTTAAGGCCAGAAGTAGCTTTTCTGATTAGTTTGTCAGTTCATGTGAGCTAAGGAACCTTTATTTGAACAATTATGCTTCTTTCTGAAACACATCCAGTACTGATTTAAAGATTCCAGGTGATGGAAAATCCATATAATTTGTACACAGGTTCGTTACACTCATTATTTTTAAAAAGTAAACCTTATTTGTAGCTTGAAACATCTGTCTTTCAGCCGCTAGATCTTATTTCTCTTCCTGATAGTGGAGGCTCTTTATTCTTTCTGGTAGATTGTCATCAGGTCACCTCTTATCCATCCCTTTAATAAAGCATTTGGATTAAGTCAGTTTAATTTCTTACTACAAGACATGTTATAGACCTCAAAGGCATTCTTGTCATTCATATCTAGCTCTTTGCAATTTATCCCAATTTCTGGAATTTGGTCTAACTTAAACTCTGAACTCCCTGGGGTGCTTTGAAATTGAGCCTGAATCTGCTAGGTTTCACATCCCCGACAGGGCTGCCATGATAACTGTCCTTTCGTCTGTGCAAATTGTAGTTTACTTGGGAATGACATCAAAACAGAATCCATTTTAACATGAATGAGCTGAACTTGTATCGAGACTCCTCCCACATCTTGATAAACAGATCCTGCAAAGAGGATGTATATGCATGATGTCAAGGTGGATATAATAGGCAAGAAATGTCTTTAAGAGAGTAACCTTTTTGTTTTGTTTTCTCTTTCCTGGGGAAAAATCACCCACACTTTCAACCACGTTGCTCTTGTAATATAGAAATTGCATGGCTTGTGCTCCACTTATATTCGTCTTTTAGTCAAGGCTATACTTAACATATTCCCTGATCCCATTACAGCCTTACTCCCTGTGTGTACACCAAAGAAATCAGTAAGTCTTAGAAAGGAGTAGGGAAGCCTTATTTGTGACCTAACGCGCTGTGACTGACACCCTGGGAAGGATTCAGATTCAACCATAAGACAGTTCTTTGATTCCCTGCCCTCAACTTTCTCTAGGGGATAGTCTTGCAGTTAAGGGCAATGGGTTCAATTCTCACTGTGTGCTGCACATTTTTTTTAATGTGACCTTTGTCCACCTTAACTTCTCTACAGCTCAGTTCCCCATGGGCAAATTGGGGCTGCTACTGATGATGATGACTCCTTTCCATTGCCATTTGTCTATGTATGTCCTAAGCCACCTTGAAGTAGGTCATTAGGGTGTTAGGTCTGTGTTCTGTCAAGGTTGACTGTAGTCTTATGTAGAGTTTAAATTATGGATTGTATGGGATGATCTGGATAGGGATGATCCTGCCTCAGGCAGTGTGGTGGACTACATTAGCATTTCTCAACCCATTGGTCACAACCCAAAAGTGGGTCACAAGAATATACAAAAGGGTGATGAACACATTTTAGAAATGGATTCTCCTTCAAAGGATAAAAACATGGGAAACACTGGCTTTTGCATTGCAGGCTGGCAGGCTAGGGGTAGATGTTCCATATTAAACTGGTTTAAACCTTTAACAGAACAGATATTCAGTGCACATAAACCAGTTTTAAAATAGCTGAAACTGGTTTGAGATAAACCTGGTTGAATATAGTATCAGACCTAACTGATTTGGGTCAAACTAGTTTATGCAATGTCCGTCCCAGACCCCTTCCTGGTTTAAGTTAAACCAGAGTTCGCCAACATCTCAGCATGCTCTCTGGGCTGGACCCTGCTCCAGCACAGAAGGCCTGGCACCTCCCCTCTGCTCCCTGGCTGGAGCTCCAGCAGAGACTTGCAGCCACAGCAGGGTCTGCCTGGCTTCCACTGGCCCCATCTTCCCCCGCATCACTCTCTGCTCAGGCAGGGATCCCTCCCTCCCCTCTCTTAGCACGGATGGTAGCCAGCATGTGGTATGCAAGCTAATGCTGAGAGGTGTCTGCTAAGGCAGACAGGACAAAGGCAAACAGCACAGTGTCCACTTAGGATTTTTTGGAGCTAATCAACAGGTAGCTGGTAATGTCCCTCCATTCCTTCTTGGAAAAAATTGTTTAAGAAGAGGTTGAACTAATGAGAGAAGCTTCTGTGTTGCTGATGGGCTGATAAATGCTGTGCAACTCCCTACTGGGTCTATTGCTGGTCAGAGGAGCAGCAAGTGAGGGGGAAACCCCTCGTTAATCAGAGCGTCCTGCCAGGGCCTGGCCCTGAGCCCCCTCAGCTCAGCATTGTGGAAGGAAAGGGAGGGTTACTTTAGCATCCCCTGAAGTCTAGCCTGAGCCCCTACAGGCACGTACCTGCCTTTCTGGAATGAAATGAGAATGTCGCTATCCGCTTCCAAATGGGTTCAAGCTTTGCAGGGTAGACTAACCTAAAGATTGGATCAATTCAGGCTCAGGCTTTTTGAATGTCTGTCCCTAGGTGCAGCGTTCCAGCCTGCAAGAGGCTGCTTGGGGCTCCTGATGCCCCTTCAACCCCCCACACACCTACCTACCCCCTGCCCCACACACTGGGGGGCTCAGGTCTGGGGGAGTGAGGGGCACTGGCTCAGGACTGGCCATTGATGTTTACAAATGGGTCCCGGTACAAAAAAAGGTTGAAAATCATTGGACTAGCGGACCTCTGGGGGTGGACTTGATGACCTCGGGAAGTCCCTTCCAGCCCTACCTATGATTGCAGCCAGCACAATGGGGGCCAATCTCAGTGGGGGCCTTTATACCCAGCCATATTACCAGTAACACAAGCTTCACTCTGCAGGGAAGCCTGGGACACCGTTGCTGTTTTGGGCGGCTCACTGCATGGAGAGGCGCCTGTCCCCAGCACGAGAGAGCCCGCACCTCGCTTGTGAAGCACGACTGCAGGAGACGGTGGTGAACCGGGAGCCCCTGCTCTCGCGCATGGGGGACGCCGGCGGAGGTTTGCACTCCGGGGCCCGGCGCTTGTCAAGCCTTCGGGGGTCACGTGGGGTCATGTGCGCGGAGCGGTGTTTGCGGGGCGCGCGGGCTCGCAGGGCGGTGGTGGTGGCAGAGGGAGAAATCAGGGGACTTCTGGAGCCTTTTTATCGCTCCAGTAACTCCAGGCTCTGGCAGGAATGCGGGTGATTCATGTCGGGTCTGTCAGTCCAGTCCGTCCAGCTGAGGCTCCTTTTCTCTCTCTCTCTCCCTCCTGGAGACAGCAGCGTCCCCCGTGCTCTCTGCGATTTCCCCCAAGCCTGTGAATTCAGCGCGGCTAAGTCAACATTGCCGAGCTGCTAATCGCAAGCTCTGAAACAAAACAGCACTTCAGTTCGGGATCTGGGCAAGATCAGCCCTCCCCCCGCTCCCCCCTCGCTCCTCCCGGCGGCAGCTGAGCGGGTCCCCGCGCGCCCC